CTTCCTAATTTAAATATATTATCATATTCTGAAATCCAAACTGAGTGCTCTACCTAGTTGTGACTAGCACATGAACAATCTCAAGCATAGCTTCAACTGGAAAACTTGAGATTCTAGACCAAACTAAATCTAAAAACACTAGAGAATTCTGGAACCTCAGACAAACCAGCCATCAAACAGGAACATGGAGCTAAATTACATTTATACATCATTCAAAGGGGATTAAAAGAGTCTAAAAGAGACCCCAAGAGACTAAAATGACAAAAGCTAAAAAGGATACAAAAAAAGACCAGCAATTATTACCCAGATAGGCAGAAATTTACACCAGGATTAATACCAGACAAAAGGCACTAAGCAATACCCTAATCAAGAAACTATCAACTCAGACAAACAATCAAGCAGTAAACAATAGCCTAATCAAAGAACTGCCAAGGAGGGAAGAACTACCCTACTAATTTTGACAGAGCAAGCTATTTTTTTTTAAAAAAAAATTATTGGTTTTTAAAAACAAACATAAATAAACAAAACATAAAAACATCAAGCTATGTTCCATAGGTGTACATACAGTGTGCCGGTTGGTTTACAAGTTGTTTTGTGCTTCCATTTCGTAGTCTTCAATTACAATTACATTGCATATGATCTCATATTGTCAATCAAAAATTAAATACCTTAGTATCATAATTAATCAATCCTTTGACTATACTTTTATTCATTCATGTTTTACAAGATAATCATAATTTACTTAGTTTATTTTATAACCGTTCATATTATCATCCCAAATCTATCCTACAATCATTTTGTAGATATAATAAGAAAAAAGTACGTCTTTATATATTTGTTATTTTCTAAAAGTCTACGTATTTCATTACTGTATTTTATTGTCTAACCATTGATAGAATAGATCCCAAATTTTATAAAATTGTTTATCCTCTTGTTCTCTGATTTCAAATGTCAATCTACTCATTTCAGCACATTCCAATATTTTCTTAATGATTTCCTCCTGTGATGGTATTTTCTCATTTTTCCAGTTTTTAGCAAATACAATCCTAGCCGCTGTTAATACATTTACAATCAGGTATTTCAAGTCTTTACTATATATTTCAGGTAAAATTCCCAA